GACACCATTGTTGCAGCCACCATGTCAAAATCCATTCATTGAGGGTCTTCCTCTTTTTTGTTGACCCTGTAGTTTACCAAGTGTGATGTCTTTTCTCCAGGGACTGGTCCCTCCTGATAACATGTCCAAAGTATGTGAGACGTAGTCTGGCCATCCTTGCTTCTAAGGAGCATTCTGGCTGTACTTCTTCCAAGACAGACTTGTTCGTTCTCTGGCAGTCCATGGTATATTCAATATCCTTCGCCAACACCATAATTCAAAGGCATCAATTCTTCGGTCCTCCTTTTTCATTGTCTAGCTTTCTTATGCATATGAGGTGATTGAAAATACCATGGCTTTGGTCAGGCGCATCTTTGTTTGAAAAGTGACATCTTTTAAAGAGGTCTTTTGCAACAGATTTGTCCAATGCAATATGTTGTTTAACTTCTTGACTGCTGCTTCCATGGGTGCTGATTGCGGATCTAAGTAAAATGAAATCCTTGATAACATCAATATTTTATTTGTTTATCATGATACTACCATTAATGATAATGGTACTAGCTGACATTTATTGAATCACAATGTTTATCAGGCATTAAACTAAGTGCTTTGCATAGATGATATCATCATTTCAATCGTATAGTACTATGATTTACCTACTACTGTTATTTCCATTTTGCAGAGCAGGAAATGGCACAGAGAATTAAAATATCTTATGCAAGATCACACAACTGTGTTAGAGTAGAGGAGTGAACCCATGCAACTTAACTCCAGACCTTACACTCAAACGCTGCAACCATCCTGCCTCCTGTTTCCCAAATACACTTTAAAAAATGGTCAATCGTAAGGGTAGGGGGAGAGAAGGCAGATACTTGAGACACACTAGTATAAAAAATAATTTTTAAAAGCCCACAGTTCTGGAATTCATAATGTATAATGATAATCAGCTGAGTGATTAATAGCTACAACTCTACTTTTTTTTTTTTTTTTTACTACGATATGTAGACTTGTAATTAAGGCTCTTCAGGTAGCAAGCAAAAAAAAATCCAACTTTAGACAGATATAACACCCTTACTAAGGTCACATTCCTGATCCAATGTAAAAGAAGTTTCCCTGGCATGTGGCCTGCACCACCTTTTATCTTACAAGAGATAAAAGGAAAGGGAACCAAGCAGAGAGTTGGGGACCTCATACCACCAAGAAAGCAGTGCCAGGAGCAGAGCATGTCCTTTGGACCTGGGGTCCCTGCGTGGAGAAGCTCCTAGTCCGGGGGAAGATTGATGAGAAGGTCGACGGAGAAAGCCTTCCCCTGGAGCTGACGCCCTGAATTTGGACTTTTAGGCTACTTTACGCTGACGCCCTGAATTTGGACTTTTAGGCTACTTTACTGTGAGGAAATAAACTTCTCTTTGTTAAAGCCATCCACTTGTGGTATTTATGTTATAGCAGCACTAGATAACTAAGACAACAGAGAAAGGCATAAAAGAGAAGGAAAAAAGTAGAGCAGCTCTGGGGGTTTCAGCAGTAGCAGCAGCAGCTTGAGGGCCATATATCTATTGTGCTGCAATTAATGTAATTTTGCCCAAATTCCCTCAGTCCCAGTGTCTCTACATTCCAATTTCAAATCCCAGGACACTGCACCCAGTAGGTCCATGCCAATCAGAAAATATTGTGCACATGCCCAGCTTTTCTCCTCCATTACATGGTGAGATTTGATATAATGAGATCACCTCCATGATGGGATCTCCTGTGAGCAGCCAATCAGTTGAAAGGGAGTATCCTTGGGTGTGTGGCCTGCATCGAATATAAGTGGACATTCTGGCAAGGCTTGTGAGCTTTTGCTCACACTGGTTGCTGCAGTTAGCTCCAGTTCTTCTGACCTCTGGTTCTTGGGACTTGAGCTAGTCCCTTACCTGCCATCTTGCCTGCCAGTCTTGGGATTTGTTGGTTTTCGCAGTCTGTGAGCCAGAGCCCTGCTGTCTGCCCTGCTGGTCTTGGGTTTGTCAGCCCCTGCGGCTACGTGAACCAGGAGAAGCCTCTAGCCTGACCAATGTTCCAGCCTCTACAACTGTGTGAGTCATTTCCTTAATATAAATTTCTCTATATATAATTTATACGCTTTATTAATTTTGCTTCTCTAGGGAACCCAGCCTAAGGCATTTGGTACTGAGAGTGGTTCTAGAGAAATAAAATCGTAAGGGTGAGTTTTCTAAATTGGTTTTCGAGTCTGGTTAGTCTTAAAGATGTTCATGGCTCTGCTTCTGGTAGTAAAGAGGGCACTGCTAACCCACAGTGTGAGGTGGCAATAGAAATATGCAAAATAGCTCCACCAATAGATTTGTGAAAGGCGAGGTTCTGGGTGATTGCATGTTTAATATCTTTTTACAATTTTCCATAATAAGAAGTATAAGGAAGCTGGTTGGTTAGTCCTACTTTTGCTAGACAAAGTGGTGAAAGAGATGAGCTCAGGGCTTCAGAGTCAAAGCTCAAGTGCCGCATAGACGACCTCAAAGTTTCCACTTGTGCCCTGAAAGAAAGCCTTATTTCTCCTAGTAACAGAGCTGATAGCGCCAAAAATAATATGTAAAGGCTGGGACTTTCCAGCCTCTACAACCACGTGAGCCATTTCCTTGATATAAATCTCTCTATATGGTCAAGCATTTGGCTGCTAACCAAAAAATCAGCAGTTCGAATCCATCAGTCAATCCTTGGAAGCCCTATTGGGCAGTTCCACTCTGTCCTATAGTGTCGCTATGAGTCAGAATCAACGCAATGGCAAAAGGTTTTTGCTTTATATAGATATTTATACACTTTACTGGTTTTGCTTCTCTAGAGAACTCAGCAAGACAGTGAGAAAGTCTATATATGTTCTAGGAGATAATTGAGAAAATGGGAAATAAGCAACAGTGAAGAAATAATGACTGAGAGTTTTCTAGAATTGTTAGAGGACACTAATCCTGACATATAGGAATCCCTGTAAATCCCAAGCATAGTTAAAAACAACAACAACAAAAAAAAAAAACACCACCACCACCAACAAAAGAAAGAAATCCAGACCTAGGCTTAATCACTGTGAAACCATGTAAGTACCAAAGACAGAGAAGGTCTGCAAGAGAGAGAGAGAGAAAGCAAAAAAAAAAAGACTTAAGGTGCTAGACTTTAGATACAAGTACAGAAAATAAAACTAGATAATAATTCTCATTAGGATTGGAGTAAGGTTCCTTTGAGATTCATCAATATGACAGGGAAGTTTCCTGATGTGGAAAACTCTTGAATACAAGAGTACGTTACGGAGGGGAAACGCTGGACACACGCATACACAAGAGTTTCCACGCCAATAAGAAAAATAGAGATAGAACGTTAGATTACAAACTAAAGATGACTTTTCCTAAAAAACAAAGAGATTTAAATAAAGAAGGGAGGAAAATAACATCTAAGATTTATTGAGGAAACCCTGTTGGCATAGTGGTAAAGAGCTAAGGTTGCTAACCGAAAGGTCTGCAGTTCAAATCCACCAGGTGCTCCTTGGAAACCCTGTGGGGCAGTTCTACTCTGTCCTATAGGGTCGCTATGAGTCTATGGTAACGGGTTTGGTTGTTTTTTGTTTTTTAATAGGGTCGCCATGAGTCAGAATCAACTCTAGGGTAATGGGTTTAGTTTGGTTTTTGGTAGAGTTAAAAAAAGAAACTCAGCAGTGAAAAACTAAATCTATCACCTATGAACTTTTGGGAGGAGTCGAATGTAAGAAAAAGATAACGCCCAGGACTATAGATGTCTACTACAGGATATTTACTCATTATAATCCAAAGTTATTTACTCAATATGATTTTACACCCATTAGATGTAAAGCTACCCGCAGTTATTTTTTTTTTCCTTTGTGGTTGCTGGTTGTACGTATAGATCAATTACATCAGAATGACGCCAGGAAGTACCGAAAAAATAGAATATATAATTATAAGAGGCTATTGGAGACCTTAAGGATTTATAGCCTTGTAAACCTTATGGGGCAGTTCTGCTCACAGAGTTGCTATGAGTAGAAATCAGTCGCAATGGGTTGGGGTTTTGGTACTGGGGACTAGTTATCTTTTCATCTGGGAATACACATTCCACTCCAACTTCTCAGTATAAAGTTACATAGACACCAACCAGGTGACCCATTTATATTTCTAGGAGAGAACACTGATGACAGATTCCAGCAGAGTTCTGCTCTTAACAATCCAAATTGCCCGAACTTTACTGATTATTCCAGCGTTAGAACCTTCGCTATGTGCCGACACTGAAATCCACGACACAAACACCGAGGCATAAAGTCGTAACAGTAAAGAACAGGTGGAAAGTTGTTCTTACTTCTGTTGTGCAGGAGCATACATCTCCCGTCATTCCCTGTCAAAAATCAACAAATAAACACAGGCACCGCATTTCGGATTCAGTTGCGCACTGCTCGCAATAGCGCCTGGTTTTTGTAGTTTCTACGTGTAGAACTGCCCGCGCATTAAGGCTTGTCCCGGAAGGAGGGAGACTACACTTCCCACAAAGGCGCAGGAGCCGGCACTGGCCCGCTTACGTCATTGCTCCAGCCAGCCAATGGCAGCTCCGGGCGGCAGTGAGGCGAGCGCCGTCAGGCGCCAAAGTGTTTCTTTTCTTTTTTTTTTTTTTCTGTAGCCGAGCGGGTGCTGCTAGCGGAGGCGCCATATTGAAAGGGACAAAACTCCGGCGACAGCGAGTGACACAAATAAACCCCTGGACGCCCTCGTTTCTCTAGTTCTAAGGGCCGCGATGTTGTACCTAGAGGACTATTTGGAGAGTGAGTGCGCGGCACTGGTGGGGGCCGCCGGTGGGAGCCCCGGGCAGGCGAGAGCGCGAGTGGTCGGGCAGGCGGGATGGCGGGAGGGAGGGGGCGGCGGGGGATGTTTCTTTCTCACGGTAACTGGCAGCCTCGTTGTGGGCTGCCGGCTCCCTTGCTCCCCCCGACGCACGCTCACACGCACGCACGCAGCGACGTAGGCGCGTACTTTCGCCGTTGGCCCCGCCCCTCTGACGGACTCTCTTTGACAGTGATTGAGCAGCTTCCCATGGACCTGCGGGACCGCTTTACCGAGATGCGCGAGATGGACCTGCAGGTGCAGAGTAAGTCGCGGGGTTTGCTCTTGTCCGCTGCTGGCGTCCAGGCCCAGACTTGCCCGCTCTTTGATTCTCCTCTAGTGCACTCAGTGCAGAAGGAGTTGTCAAAAGGAATGGGCATTGCCGAATCTTGCCCTTTCCTTCATTCTCGTGCTACTTTTCTCGTGGCATTTACAAGAGGAGACATTGGGGCAAGTGTACTTTTTTTCTCGAATTTGGGACTGTGCAAAAAAAGTTGTTTCTATACAGTTTATTTATTTGGAATATAAACTTATGCTTTAATGGAATTTTACATTATCGTACATGTTGAGAAGATTTCGACTTGAGCTACTATGTTATCGAACTTAGATTTTGACATTTATACGTCTGTTAAAGCTCTCGCTACTTAACATTTTCAAAAGTGGAAAACACCTAGAAGCATGGTTTGTATGTAGGTTTTCAGAGAGCCTGGTGAACTTGGAATAGCACATTTTGAAAAGTTGTGCATTATAGGGTACATTCTCAATTTTCTCAATCAAAATGAGTAAGGGAAATTAGATTGTATTGTAAAACTTCTTGTCTGATGGAGTAAAATTTTTGTCAGTGAACTTTTCTTCTTTTGGCAATAGTTTGGGAGTTGGGTGACTGCCCCAAAATCACCTTACTATTTCATAGAGCAGGGGTTATAAATAGGTGGTCGAAGGACAGCTAGAGAGTTGGAAAATAGCCTTCAGAGTATTCTGGAATACAGTGGAATTATATGCATTTTTTTTTTTTCTGACAAGTTTCTTAAAAGGGCGCATGATTCAGAGAAGGCAAAGAATCATTGCCTTTGGAGATAAGAAAGTAAGTACTTGTGGCAGAATTACATTTCAAAATAAGACAGTAGTGCTGGATACAAAATTTATGTTCACCACGCTCCGAAAGAACCTCCCAAACCTTCCCCATTTGTGAAATGAGTATGATGAAAGCTGTTTCAAGTATCTTGTAGAGATACTTTGTTAAAAATTAAGAATGTGATGGTACATATTTAGAATGTATAATCAAGAGTCCCTTGTTGGATGTGTTGTGCCCTTTGTTTGTAGGTACTCTCTGATTGTTTAATTAGTATTACTGGCTGGTCTTCATGGAGTATGGCCCCAGAATATATGTTTCTTGATTCCATGCATGCCAGCAATGTTCAGGCTGTATATAAAATGTTTGTTATCCTGGCAGATTTTCTTAGAAAATTTGGTGTGGAGGGCCACCTTGGTTTTGAAGTCTGATGAAGAAGAAAGGAATATTATGGAAAGAGATCAGCCCATCAGGCTTCCCGTACTGGGAGTCTTGGAGTAGCTAAGACACTGTCCTTTTCATTACCCCACCACCACCACTGCATTGTACCCATTGGTAATGAATGTACTTTCTCCGCTCTCATCAGTTTCATTAGGGGCATATTAGAAAGATGATACGATGTGGAAGCCACCTGTTTCTAGTGAGTGTACTGTATGATGGAAGTCTGAACTGTATGTGTGGCTCTCTAGCCAGCTCACAAAACCCAGTTTAATATAGTTGAAATGCTGAAGATTTGTTAAAGTATTGTTTTCTGCAGCATTGAGCAGAGACTTTGAAGTCAGATAGGTCTGAGTTCATCTTCGGGCTTTGCTATTAACTTACTCGTTGATCTTGATCCTATTACCACTGCTGAGGGGTTTTCATCATCTTTAAAATGAGAATGATCTAAGGATTAAAAATAATATAGATAAGTTACAAGGTATAGTACCTGATACAAGGTAGGCATTAAAGAAAGAATGTTTTATGATTTTTTATTATCATTACAAATTTGAAATTCTCCTGTAATTTATACAGATTACAAGCTTTTTAAACCTGTGTTTTTTTTACAATGATTAGAATTTTCTAACCTTAATAGATACTATGGGTTAAGGGAGGACTCTATATCAAATAAGCTTAGGAAATGCTTATTTAAAAAGGAAAATATTTAAAAAATTTACAATAGGGACTTCTCAGAATCTTCAAGAAGCTATTATGTACTGCAAATTTCTGAAGGGAAGATAGAGTAAAAAGGTTTTCCTCAGCTTACATGACAACAGAATCCCACTTATTTATTTTTCCTTTTGTAACAGAGGAGCTCTGGTGGTGCAGTGCTTAAAGTGCTCAGCTGCTGACCGAAGGGTCTGTGGTTTGAACCTACCAGCCGCTCCGTGGGAGAAAGATATGGCAGTGTGCTTCTGTAAAGATTTACAGCCTTGGAAATCCTATGGGGCAGTTCCATTCTGTACTATAGGGTCGGTATGAGTCAGAATCTACTCGGTGGCAGTGGGTTTTGGTTGACAAACATCAAGTGAGATAATTATTCCTGGCACACACTTTGACAAAAATTCATTTAGAATAACTTCGCGTATTAAGTGAATACATGATTGTACCTGTTACATTCAGTTGTGATAAGAGATAATGAGATGCTTAATGCCATATAGCAAGATACTAAGATCTTTTTACCACTTTTTCTTATTAAAAGAAGTGTAAGGATTAACTAGTGGTGCTTTCAATAAGTGATTGTGTTTCGTCACATTTAGTCTATTTAATACCAGTAGCTTTTGACCCCAAGGCTCAGCCGTTGAAGAACAGTCTACGGTGTTGACTCTACTTGGCTGTTGGAGAAGACTTTGAAATAACAATAGCAAAAATAGTCAGTAGGAAAAAATGTAACCTTTTTTTTTAGCAAGGTAGTCAAGGAATTATATATTTACACAATTAAAGCATGACGTACTTAAGTTACTGACCAAATGAAAGGCGCTCATGTTGTCAGGTATGCTTTTGTCCCCACTAAACAAAGTACACATATTCAGTGTATGAACCTGGTCATCTAAATATAGAATCTTTTTGTTATGTTACAGATGCAATGGATCAACTAGAACAAAGAGTCAGTGAATTCTTTATGAATGCAAAAAAGAATAAATCTGAATGGAGAGAAGAACAAATGACATCCATCAAAAAGGTATGTTCAGTATTCTGAATGAGTTATCAGTAAATATTCGGACCCTGTTTTTCTGGATATGGAAATGAGGGGAAGTTATTCGTGGCTGTTCAGGATTTAAACAATTTATTGTGTTTTAAAGCTTGAGATGTAGACATTTTTAATCATTGAAGCATTTTGGTAATTTAAAAAAATTGTTTTA